CCTGGTTTTTCTTGCGACGCAGAATTTTCTCCACCAGGAACGTATCCTTATAGTTGGTGGGTTGGAGTTCTTCGCGGTAGAATTTTCCTTTGATGATCGTATCGTGCGCGTCTTTCAGATCGTACGTGATCGGAACGGTCGGATTGACGCTGACAATCTTGAAAATTTCCGTGCTCCCATTCGGTGTGTATCCTCTCTCGAACATGGCTTTGAGACTCGAGATCCGGACGTGATCACCGACATTCAGTTTTCGTCTGACCAAACGTCTCTTTTCAATTTTACTCAGCGGCGGCCCACGAAGCTTTTGCAGGATCATCGGTACATCATTATTGGTGACATCGATTGGATTTTTCCCGATGGTGCGATGAACGCTCCCGTTATATTCACGGATGAGTTTCGGTAATAGATCTACCCACTTGTACGATCCTTGCGCACTGAACTCTCTCCACATCTTCGTTTTGAGCGTTCGGTTGAATCGCTCGACAATAGAGGCTTTGGTTGTCGAGTACGAGCTGTACATATTGATCTTGTGACGCTTCATCAATGCTTGACATTTGGAGTTGTAGAATTTTTACGACGCGGATAGTTTCGTCGTGCAGGTTTATGTAGCTCCTCGACGATCTAACGTTTTTCTGCCGACATGATAATTACCGTCAACGTCGTCTTCGTCGTCGTCCGCTCTCTCGATTCAAATGCTGTTTCGATGCTACTATTTTAACCAGACGATTGTAAGATTGTTGAAGTTGGCGGATACGCTCCAGACAGTGTTGACCTAATTTCATAGCTTCCTTCCACTTCCGTTCGGACCATTGTTTGTTCACCGCATCCTCATCACTTTCGGGATCTTGCGCTTGACGAATCCGTTTGTTCGATACGATATAATTTCCGTCGGAATCCAGTGAGAATCCGTCACCTTTTGGACCGTGGCGGAATTTCGATCGGCCAAAACCGTCCGTGTGACTCATCTCAACACTATTTTCCTTTCATTCGATTCACAACCTCTAATTGACCGATCGTATTTTCCAGTCGTGATAATTTCGTCTCGAGTCGTTGCGCGATACTTTTGTATTCTTCCATTTTCTCCAAACAAAGCTGTGTCAAATTCATAGCTTCCGTCCACCTCGAGTCTGTCCATTGTTTGTTCACGGCGTCGGTATCCTCTTCGGGATCTTGCAGTTGTCGGATCCGTTTGTTGGATACAAGATAATTCCCGTCGGGATCCAGTAAGAAACCGTCTCCTTTGAGACCTTGCTTCGTGTTGCGAACGTAAGTCCCTTTCGATCTTCCAAACCGGTCGGTGTGACTCATTTTTGTGCGGATCCTATATTTAGTGGATGTAATCCGCTTCGCGAAGCTCCTCGACGATACTCAGAATTTCACGATCGTGATCGGTGTGACCAGCTTGTTTCGAAGCTACAAGTAAAACGAGACGTTGGACCAATTCGTTCGGATCGTCCCAATAGACGAGTTCCCGTATCGCACGATGAATTTTGATACCGGAGCCTTTCTTCAGTTTTTTACGCGATGACTTCCTCGTTGATCTCGGAGTCGATGTAGTGAACAAAGGTTTGATGAGATCGCGGTATTTTTGACTGCGGTTCGAGTTGGGTCTTCCGTGTGGATGATGATCCCTCCGATGCGCATTGGTTTTTTTTTTTTTTTTTTTTTTATTATTTTTTATTTATGAACAAAACTACAGAGTATTAATTGTTTTTACATTATAAGGTTAAAATATGATTAGTAAATGAATTTTTGAGTCTAACTTTAGACTCTAGCTTATAACTAAATTATATATACGTAGTATGTATAACTGTTAATTTAGTTGTTAGCAAAAGATTAAACTAATGGGTGTCTTTTTCGGGTCTTAAAACAAATAGGTTAACATGAGTAAATAAACAAAATACGTATAAAAAAATTTAGCGGTCTAGAAGAAAACAGAGGCCATTCTGTCTTTTAATCAAGGTCTTTGATGCCGTCAAAAGGTTTTCGCCTTTTTAGGCGTCTGAGGTCCTTTTTGCAGTTTTGGAGTAATCTGAGAGCCCGGGAGTTGGGGTGCTTGGCCAGCCTTTGGGCGTATCTGGCTCTTGGGCGTCTGTAACACCGAGGATCTGATGGATGGTGTCGTTTCTGACGTAGTCATCCCACCTGACCCCTGTGAACCCCCTGAGTATGAGACTTTGGACCGCCTGGATCTTCTGGATGTTGGTCCTAGCTGCGGTCCCCCACAGTTGGCATCCATAGGTCCAGATCGGTTTCAGGATCATGTTATGAAGTAGTAGTTTATTTTTAATGGACACTCCACTGGCAGGTCTAAAGGGCCACCACATGGATTTAAATTTATCCTGTACCTGCTTTCTTTTTATCTTGATATGAGGCCCGTACGTTAAACACGCATCAAGTCTCATACCAAGATAATTTGCAGGGTTCACCACAGGGATTTCCTCCCCGGCTAGATTAACTGTAGACTCGTTACATCTCATTAGGGTGAACGCAGTCTGCTGGGACTTGGTGCCATTAAGCTTGATTTTCCAGCGGTTGCAGAATTTGGAAGTGGCGTCCAGTCCTTGTTGCAGACTAGCGTTCGCCATCTCGAGTGTCTCTCCTGCGGCCGCGATACCCGTGTCGTCAGCAAAAGTTGAGACACGTGTACCCCTCGCTACAGGAAGATCATGTACATAAATCAAAAACAGTATCGGGCCGAGGACGCTACCCTGCGGCACCCCAGCTAGTATGGGCATAAAGTTGGAGTAGGTGTCCTCGTGGCGGACTCTGAAGGACCTGCCATTGAGGTAAGATACTAGAAGTGTATGGTAGTTGACAGGGAGCAGTTTTAGCATTTTCAGCGCCAGGCCTTCTAGCCATACCTTGTCGAAGGCCTGTGCTATGTACAGGAGTGCAACAGAGCAGACTAGTTTTTGCTCAAAACAGCTCTCTATCAACTCCGTTATTCTATGCACCTGTTCAATTGTGGAGTGCCCTCTCCTGAAGCCGAACTGGTGTGACGGAAGTATTTTCCTCTCAGCAATCACCGGCATGAGACGTTTGAGGAATAGTCTTTCAAATAGTTTGCCGATGATTGATAAGATGGAAATAGGTCTATAGGAGGAAGCCAACTGTGGAGGTTTACCCTTTTTATGGAAGAGTACAACCTCTGCTTTCTTCCAGATTGTCGGAACCCACTGTAGCTCAAGGGATGCATTGAAGATATCAGTT